AAATATATGAAGGATAATTGATGAAAGGAAAAACAAAAGTTGAATACAAACAGGAAAGATAATTATGGAGAGGAGAGGGGCCAGAAAGACACGTTTCACATGTGCAGAGATACATGTGCGCTCTCACGGGACCTGCTCCAGCAAATATATGAAGGATAATTGATGAAAGGAAAAACAAAAGTTGAATACAAACAGGAAAGATAATTATGGAGAGGAGAGGGGCCAGAAAGACACGTTGGATTGGGAAAAGTAACAAAGGAAACAAAAGGGAGCTTGCGCCCTTGTGAAGCACAACAGCAGTCCAGCGGAAAAGACTCAGAAGGCATGCCTCTATCCCATTGTCAAGGCAATGCGGGGTGTCGGGGATATGACCCAGGGAGGAAGTCCGGCAGGGGGTTTCACACGCCAGGTTCAGCCCACGTTTCAGGACAGCGAGCCCACCTGCTCACTCAGGTATCACTCAAGACCAGGAATCTCAGGGAAGGGGGAGAAGAGAGACCTTGCTACACACCCGGGAGTATCAGCCTGGACCAGAGAGCTGCGCCAGGGTGCAGCCCCTTTGAACTCAGGGTCCTGCATCCCCGAGGCACCGGTCGCAATTTCTTTCGCACCGGGAATCAAGTCCTTTGCAAGCGACTTAGACAGGGAACGAGATGTTGTAAGCAGTAGAGTGGCCTTCTCGCCATCATCTGTTGACATTCGGCCCTTTTTTCCAAAGCTGAAAAAAAACAACCAAAACAGAACCTACTTTGGCAGAGTTGTGAGTCCATTCTCCCCAAAACTACCGAACACAGGCAAATCAGTACAGCAACAAGTTCGCAAAAAAAAAAAAAAAAGCGAAGGTACAGGACGAAGTCCTGGACGGTTGTAATCCATGGCAGCAATGAATAGACCACAATGACAACTGGGGAATGGTTCAGGGTAACCAACCGGTTTTGAAAGACAGATACATAGGCAGAGAAAGAATAGCTTTGAAGTTTGAACAAAGCATAAGAATGCAGAAGAATGCTGCATCGCAAATGGCAAGCAATATTGCCCCTCCCCACCCCTCAAATCCCCTCTCACCATAACAACATGACAAATTACCCCCCCAACTGTCTTGCTAATGAGGTGCACTTCAGGCATATTGATGTACAGCAAACTTGCAAGAACAAGAGGTAAATCACCTGTCATATCTTTCTTGCTTGTGCCATGGCAGTAAATCCAGGGTTGAAAAAAAAAAAAAAAAAAACAGAGAGAAAATAAAAATGCTGAGGTGCGAAACACTGAACACACTAGTAACAAAAAATATTGTCTGTGTGTAGTCTTCATCACCCCTAACAACATACAGGCTGATATCATCCAACAGGCACCTCGTCAATCCACCAATTTGATCTGTTCCACTGCATGAGATCTTACTTTGAAAGTTGAAGATGAAACGAACCCAGACTGATATTCACATGGACACCTGAGAACACTGTCACAGGCCAAAGAGTTGTACGGATGGACCGCTTAGGATCCGGTGAACACGATAAAAAGAAAGGATGCAGTGAACATCTGTCTGTGCGGTATCCATACCTGCATATGCCACAATTGCTGGCGCCCGTGAATGATGTCTAAACCACGCCGGATACCACCGTTTAAACAGCGATCCCCAGTCCTGACACAGCATACTCGTACGACGGTGATCAGCTCTACTTGCCCCGTCCTTTTGAGTTCACACTGGTAGGCTCTGCCACAAAGCCAACATTAGTCTGGTAGCTTGGTAGATTTCCAAGGCCTGGTTCAAAGCTCAAAAAGTGCAGACTAGAAAAAGTCCAAAAGCTTCAACGAGGCCAGAAGTAGAATTCCCAGGCTATGAACTTAGCAAAAAAATCGAACATTTGAAAAGCACAAGCTCTGAAGTCCCAACTTGACAGCTTAAAGGTCAAACCCAAAAGTCAGAAAGCTCAACTCAATTACCAGTATTTACATGAAAGGAACGATGAGCTACCACCAGTCCTCACAATCTCACTCCCCCCCTTCTCCTCCCTTCCCCCCAGTCGGTTTCTTTGCTTTTGCCCGGAATGCCGAAGAGTCTCTGCCATTTCTGAATGCAAATATCTACAATCAACCACGCATCTCTTGCCAGCCTGTAGCTTCAATGATCAGCCACTAGGAAGTATGGCAAGAACACGGACAACAAGGTACGGAACTGCCACTGACTGGAACGGCAGGAGTACATACATGAGGATCAACACCAAGCTTTAGCTGTGAACAGCAACCTGACCTGGCTGGCATTCAAACCCGACTGACGATATATATATATATATATACGAAACAATATATATATTTACCATCGAAAAGACTCAGTAAAATATATATGAGAATAAACGGCCAACAGAACTGCAAACAAACGATATCTACTGACAATCCTCTATGTGAATCAGCCAAAAAAACAAACCAAAGCGAAGATGCAAAGACATCTGCATCCTAGTGGCCAACCCCAAGATAGCCAGGTTCCCCTAAAGCCCATGCCAGGGCATGCCTCAGCTCTTACCTGCTAGCTAACCCGAATCGACCAACTAATGGCAACTATGCTCACATACCACTCTCCTCAGTGTGTGCTCTACTGGACAGACGATGCAGTCTGCAAGGAAAATCAACTACCAAAAGCCGCAACAACATGCAGATTGGCAGCCGCTCAAGAGATCACCAGATGTGAACTCTTCTTGGGAGCTTGAATGGCTGGCTCACCGCACACATCCAAACCCTAGCACAATGTAAAGGGTACAGCAAAGTCCTGTTGATTGTGCAACCCGGTGCGATCGATCATATGGTACAGGAAGAAAAGGTATAACACCCATGGCAAAACAATGCCCAAGCAAGAATTTTGTGTTTCGTGAGGCCATATCTCCCACCGAAGGGAGGGATGTGACATAAACTTGCAACGAAAGGAAAGACAGAAAAAAAATTGTAAATAGCTCACCTCTGTGTTCTGTTCCCATGTTCAGCTACATGAGGGGCTGGGTGACTGAGCGGCCTACCCCCACACATGACATCACCCTTCTGTTCGGGATTCTTATATTTGCAAGGGCAACTGTCAGTGTCCAGAAATGTGTCCTGGCATCTTCCTACATAACAGCATGCCATGAAAAAGCATGTTGGCAGCGATGAAAGCAATGTCAGCAACTGGGTTTATTTGTCATGCAGCATGTCGGCTGTCACGACGGCAACGTCAGCAACCAGGTTGATTTGCTATGCTTCAGAATCCTCCCCCCCCCCCCAACCCCGGCCCCTCTTACCACCGACCTCGAGCTCGAATCCGTGCACGGCCATCTTCTGGATGGAGCACGTAGCGCACTAGTCCTGCAAGGCTGCTCAGATATCGCAAGTTCATCCGATTAACAGGTGCCATGTCCTCTTTAATAGCAGCTTCAAGGACATCCATAGCCACTTCGGCATCACGTCTTGTCATGTCTCTCAGTTGAAGCTCTACCAGCTTACGGATTGCTTGCCGTTCCCGCCATGCTTTTCCCACACCCTCTCTGCTTTCAACTCCGTCCACCTTTTCCAGCAACCACCGCCCCTCCTCCATCGCCTTCTCTGCCACTCTCTCGTAATGCAGTTTCCGGTAACCTGAAGGGAATACAACAGGTAAGTTTTGTATGCAAAATGATTGTACCAATGCCAGCATCTTCTTTTCCTCCAGCTCCTGAGGTAGACTGTCCTCATCGCACTCAGCATTTGGATGCAAAGCATCGAATCCACCCTTGCCAACCCCATCACCAGCATTCTCTAACCCCAACACCACCCATCCAAACAAGGTCTTGATACCCACCTCTTTAGAGTCCCCATCTCCGCAAAGCTCGTAACCAATCTTTTCAAAGAAGCCTCTCGCCTCGGTGCCTACCACTCCTGAAACCTTAAGCTGGAGCATTGCTTCCCGGTTCCACGTTCCCACCACCCATCGCTCCACCTCACGGTGTAGCCACGACCCTATACCCTTCTGCCGGAAGTCTGGACTCACCCAGATCCAGTAGATCGACGGTCCAGCTGTGCAGTCACTGTGTTTCCTTACCCAGTATTTCACCACGCACCTTGCAATCGTCTTCCGGCCACCCGAATTAGCTGCAGCTGTGCCTTTTGCGGATGGCACTGCCCTTTCGAAGACCTCAAACTGTGTTGCCGCATTGCCAAATAGGTCAAAAAGCTGCTGGGAGGAATAGGATACCAGGGGCGATGCTTGCAAGCCTGCAGCCAATGCTCCACCTGACGGCTGAGTTAAGTACCCAGTCTTCACTTCCATCTCCAATCCCCGGTTTTCGAACAATCTCCTCACGCATCCATGCTGCAGGGATGCCATCACTGCCCTCCCAGTTGTGCGCTGTTTTAACCGTGCGGCAAGTCGATTCATCACAGTGCCCAAGTCAAACGCCCGCGAATCAAACTCCACCGCCAATGCCCAGCCAGCGATCTCGGCCGTTATCCTCACAGACGGATGTTGATCCCCTCGCTTTGAATTTCCCGCGTTACTAGCATTGCCAACACTGGCAGAGGCCTCACAGCAATGGAGCCGACCCACACTCTCCAATCCCCCAGACCCAGAATCTTCCTTCACTTCCCCCATTTGTGCACCCATTTCCATCATCAACCCCCTTGCTTCTGACATAACAACTCTTCCCTGTTCAAGCCACCGATCTTTGCCTCGATGATCTGGCCAGCTTACAAAAGCAACAACCATGGCCCTCAGCCGATCATTCACAACCGTATGAACCTCCGCAGAGCCACGCTGGCAATAAACTTTATGTTCCTTCCAGTCCAATTTCTGACACTCTTTCCCACAGTACATAGCCATTCGGCAGCTTCCGCAGTACAGCTTCACCTCATTCTTTCCCTTCATTACCTGGCAAGATGACCTTGAACACTTGACCATGCCTCCACCCACGCCATCTTCGCTACTCGTCAAGATCCCCGGGCTCCCATCCAGCGAGCTGTCAACAGAACCTGTTGTCACCGATCGGCCCCGTTCCTTAGCCTCTGAAATGAAGGGCTCAAAGTGGTTACCAATATACCGCTTGATCTCTTGCGCATCCTGGTCCTCCTCACCAACTGTTCTTAGGAGCACCTTCAGTGATTCTTTGCCAGCTGTCATCGCTTGTTTCAACTTCCCCAGCTTTGCAAGCATAATTGCCTTCGAGGACAATGCCCGACCATACTGTTCATGCAAACAAGAGAACAACACAGTCAGTTCTCTTTTCGTCAGTCTCATTCATTACTAAGCCTTCTGCTATGCACGGCACTGAGCACATCAAGCTACAGCGGCACACACACTCATAGGAAGGCCAACCCTTCACGTCATTGTTAGACTCTACAGGTAATGAAACAGTCTCTCAATGACCTGGTACCCCATGGAGACACGAATGCATTAGAAGCCACAAAACGATGTCCTAACAAGAGAATGGATCATGACGAGAGTCGTCCAAGTAGGCAGATGTGCAGTCAGGCATGCCAAACAACTACAACTCCAATTAACGTGCAGGTTGCTCCGTATGGACTGACTCAAGGATTTTCTGAAGTTCACTCACAAGGAAGATGGGCACCCGTGGCACTCCATGGTTCTGTATACCCTGTCGATGGGATCTACGTCTTGAAACACTTTTGTCTCGCTTAGCGAGGGTCCAAGTGCACCGGTTTGCGCTAAGCAAGTATGAGCCTCGTCATAAGGAAGAGTGAACCTGGTAACTTAGCACAGATATCGCACCAGTGGTAGCTCACCCTCACTCACATTTCTGGATATGCATAGTCCTTCGCAACCAGTGACTCAGGAAGGGTGTCAAGCCCAAGGTAGGCAAGGAGAGTCTGCAGCCGTAAATTCATGCCTTTCGCTTCTCTGACTGAGTGCCACATTTTTCTACTGTTTCTCCAAGAGAATTTAGAGAAGAAAGGTCTCTTGCTCCATAGCAAGACCTAGTGACGGACCCAGCAGGGCATGAACTGGCTGGGGCCGTTGAGACAAGGTTAGCAAATTTCAAACCACATCTGTAGGCCTGTTACTGGAATCTCAGATGTTTGAAGAACACAGTATACACCATACACTATGACACTCTGTGATACTAACCAAAAGGAGAAAGTACTCGAACACAACACACCTTCATGCCGAATCACCGGAAAAAAAAGGAAGGATTCGTACAGATCTGGCAGGCAAAACAGCCATGCCGATGGGTTGAAAAAAAAGAAAAATGACAGAATCTGGAAATTTTGGGGTTGTGCAGGTACTCAGCAGGTGCTCCAGGTTTAGCTGATTTGAAAAAAAAAAAAAAAAAAAGAATCTGGAAACTTTCGGGTTGCCCGGGTAACCTAGTTAATTTCATAATTTTCTCACTTTTATTTTCAGTCTTGTGCTGAAAGTGCCTGGCACATGGTTTGATCACTCAGCTGACCATACCCAGAAGAGTACCAGCAGGTCAAGGGGAACTCAGGTCGCCCAGCTGGTAGCCTGGGGTTGAACCCAGGACCATAGTCACAGTGTTACCCTATAGCCCTCGAAACGAAAAGAAAAAAAATACACTACCTCCTGTACAGACTGTCCCGCAGGCAAGAACTTGAGCATCTGTTTCCGTTTAGCACCTGAGGGAAGGGGATTACTGCGCGATGGACGAGTGTCATACACCTAATAAATTCTAGAAAACAGTCACTTGAAACGGTTTTCACCTTTGAGATAGCAGTTGCAGATCCCAGAGCTTGATCCCCAGACCTCGCCCTTACCCGTGTACAGTATCGATGACCCGTGTGTCCTCAAACCCACAACCTGTGTTTTGGAAGCCGCCTGTTTGTTTGCTGTAGGTAGTGTAGTCATCGGGTCTTGAACCCTAGGTCTATAGATTAGAGGTCTTAGCAGAGGTAGGAGTCGTAGCTGCTACAGTGTTGAAAGGTCGAGTTGTAGCTGCTACAGTACCGAAGGGTAAAGTCCACAGTCTTCCGGAAGATCCGGAACTGGCCCTTCGTGAGTCATAGTAGTCAGTCCGTAGGCAAGTGGTCAAGTGGGCAGTCTTACCTTGCTTAGTCAGCGGTACCCAGTCCTGGTTGCACTTTGTCAAATCAGCAAGTACCATGTGGGACTATGTACACCCCAGGCCCAGGTCCAAGGGCAGACCTTTGACGATCCAATGTATAAATACAGATGCAGCGTCAAGCCATGGATTCATTCTGCCTGTGAGCCGTGCGGAAGCGCTGTCGAAGTGTCTTGAGTGCAGAGGTCTGCAGTGGCCCGTTCACGAAGAGGGCTAAGAGGAGGACGATCGGCCATAGCCGATAGTTAGTCAGTAGAGGAGAGAGACGGTGGCCATAGCCGCCATGTCAGCAAGATTAGAGTGTTAGTAGGTGTGTGTGTTTTAGATTTTCCGCACAACAGCCCCAATTCCACCCAGGTGAATAGATTCAGAATCAAAGCARTCTTTGTCCTATTGCAGACAACGAGAGCATTTGAGATGTCCAACATATTAAAGCAATTTTATAATTAGACAATTTTTTCGGTTGTTCTTGGGGTACCCCTTTCATTGTTCTTGCAGCTCCCCTTTTACTGTGCCTCTTACGCACAAGGCTTCCCACGTTGATTGTGTGGTTGAGCGGCAGCTACCCACATCCCTGTGCGCCTTCACGGACCACTTGCACGTTATTTCAGGAGGCAGAGTAAAAGGGAAGGTATGCTCCTGTGCATCTCTTCAGAGCTTCATACTCCTGTTCATTTCACTTCAGATCTTCAGCTTATACAGTCTTTGTGTCCGTCCTTCATCTTCATACTTCCATCTGTTCATTTCACTTCAGATCTTCAGCTTATACAGTCTTTGTGTCCGTCCTTCATCTTCATACTTCCGTTCATTTCATTTCTGATCTTCATATCGTCTATTATGTTAATGATGCTCATTCGTATGTATTTGTTAGTAGTACAAAGGGAGTGGAGGGGAGGGTGGAGGGTAAGGGATAGAAGGTGGAGTTCTCTAGGAGTATAGGGTAGGGGAGGTAGGGGCAACGGGAAGGAAAGAAATATGTGGAGGGCAGGATAGAGTATGACATGCAAAGAGCAGGGGAGAGGTGTATGACGGGTTTCACAGATTTCTAAATATTCACCGCTGAAACAGACTGCTCTAGCACAAAAAACACAAACAAAAAAACACACACACACTATGGCGAGTGGCAACCCCTACAGGCTGGACAGGACCGGTTCGGGTGTGCGCTATGGAAGCACCGCATCCAATCTTCGCAGTCACAGTTGCTGCATCGAATGGCACGGCGCAGACAGATGTCACAGGCTACGTGGCTCGTACATGCTAGGAACACAGAGGCACGTCGACCGCATTTATAGAGGCATTGCTGTTCCAGCCCGTCTACAAATTGGACATGACATGTCGGGGTGCCGTACATAAGTACAGTACTGACTGTCATCGTACATATGGAAGCAAAAACTCGCATGGACTATACCTTCATAATCCTCACGGCACAAGGCATGTGAACCACATGCTAGTTGAATCTCCGGCGGTTCATCACAGAACGGCATAGAGCATCTTTCTTGGGCTTCCTCAGTAAGTATTTTCCTTCTCTATGGGCAGACGATGACAGGGAGGATCGGTCCAACGCAAGGGCGTTCAGCTGCTGCAGGATATGATCTGCAACAGCTCGCCCTGGTGGTGATAAACTATGAGCACATGGCTCTGCCAGTGGTTCATATAGAAGTCTATTTTCCTCCTCGGACTGCTGTGTTCGTCATTCGTCTGGCAAGTTAGAGGGAGATCCGTCAGCAGTTGCCGTAGGTGTATGACCAATACCGCATGTGGGACATGCTAGGAGAGGATGCGGAGGACGATGGCACCGGTAATAGCCCACGCAGTAAAGACACATACTTTCTATGACAGCTTCCTGGAATCATTGACAACACATGGCATGTTGCGGACATGTCATCAGTATGGAAGGCTGAGGTGCACAGTTATTTAAGCATGGCAGATCAAGGCCACAACGGCATGCTGGGCAAGTAATCAGGGGGTGGGGGGGTTGAGCACAGGACATGGGATCACAATTTTCGTGTGAGAGGCTAGCAGCGACCATCCCTTCATAGTGTTCGGAGCAGAGGCTATGCCGTGTACATGCCAACCGAACTGCACCTGTGCGACGACACAATGGGAGGGCACAGCCATCATCCTGTGGAGAGGTCCTTTCACTGTTTGTGGTAGAATCAGCCGGATTGCTCTCCGGGAGGTGCAGTGCTTGCAAATGCTCATCGACATACTGTTCCTGATGGACAAGCAAGACTGAGTGACTGTTACATTCTGCGATTCCACACGGGCCTTCACAGGCCCGACATACCGGTTCAGGGGGTACCCAGGCCGGCCTCGCCAAGGCCAGGCCTTTTTCTCCCGGTAGGCCCTGTTAGGCCACCGGTTGGGGCCTCAGCACCTAGCAGACCAGGGTTGGCCCAAACGACATGACCGTTTGGGCCTGGCGGCGCTCTTGTGGCTGCCGCCCGCCGGTCTGTGCTGAACGGTCATTTCGACGGTTCAGCCCACGGCGCAGGAGGCCAGCATCGAGGCCAACCGGCCACCGGACGGTACTTAGGGCGGTCCAGCAGCCATTCTCGGAAGGTTGGAACGGGGAGCAGCCAGAGGAGCGCTGCGCTATTTCGGTTCAGCACAGCGCTAGGAACTGCGGCGCTAGTTTTAGCGCACTGCAGTCCAGGAGGAGCGAGGAGGAGCGAGGAGGACTCACCTGAGACAGTGGAGCGCCATAGCTCCAGCAACCTGCAGTAGGACTCCCGCCGCCGCCAAGACGCCAGCTTGTCATCTGCAGGTTCGGCCTGAGGCCCCTCACCAGCTCCCCCCATCTTTACCTCTCCTCTCCATCTCAGTCTTCTTCTTCTTTCTCTTCTCCTTCCTCTGTTTCTTCCTCTTCGTCTTCAGACCTCTTCTTCTTCTTCTTCTTCAGAGTTGAGACTCAGACACGCGTTGGACAGAGATCAGTGTTTGGACTTCGGTGGTAGGAGGCTGTGATACTGACTGGATTCGAGACCTTGGAGATGTGTGGGATTGATACTCGGTGGCATCACGGACTTGGACACCGGTTACATTAGGAATCTGTACCCCGACATTGGTGACTTATTGTCCACAACATTCTGATCTTTGTTCCGTGACATTTTGGACTACCATATCGGTGACCTACTGGATTCTA